GAAGGTGCCCCAGACGGTCCCTGTCCTGTCCCCGCCCTCGCCAGCGAAAATAAAATAGATGGAGGTTAAATATAAAAACCCAAAAGTGCACGGACACAGAGCCCAGCTGGGTTCAGACAGCGGAGGAAGGTTTAACTGGGCATTTTGGGCGCCTTTGAAGCACACTGGGAACTTGAAATAACTGGGGATGAAGGGGCTGGAAGCAGGAGGGGAGGGAGAAGGGCAGAAAGGAGAACTGGAAAACAGGTCTTGGGCAAAATGGGATGTGCCCACTCTGCAGCATCGAGTGCTGGGCTTCTCCGGGGGTTTGCAGCACTGTGCTCGCTTTGGCTTTCTCCATTTCGCTGCATTCCTCAGATTAAACTGTTTGTAAATCAAAATCACGCCCTGGCTCCAGTGAATGGCAGCGAAAGGCAGCCAGTAATCCCCCCTCTCAGTCAGGAAAAATAGCTTCCATTTTTTAGGAGAGCCTTCAACTCACAGGAGCCCAAAGCTCTTCCAAAAGGGACCTCTTCAACCCGGGGCTTAGGTGGAGTGGGGTATAACACTCCCCAATAACATGGGGGGTCAGGGCAGGAGTGGGGGGCGTCCAGCCCATCCGATGGCCCCCACCACATCCACCCATCAGCGCCAGGGTGGGACACCAGAGATTTGGGGGAAAGCGACTGCCTTTGGCTCTTAAATAGCCAAAAACTTTCTGGACATTCACTTTGTGTGGAGCTGATGCTCCCTGGCATGGCCGCGGGTGCTGAGCACTCGATTTTCCCCATGGCAGCATCACCGGGGCTCGATGGACACGTACCCGGACCACAGTGGTCCTCACCCCACTGTGACCCCCTCCAGCCATTGGTTTTGCTGGGCTTGGCCAAACGGGCACATTGGGGCCATCTGAGCGGAGTTGGCTGCCGAAACTCAACACCCAGAGCCCCAAACCCTCAACCCCCACTTTGGTTGCTCCCAAACTGCCAGAAGCCTGACTTATTTATTTAAGAATAAGTCAGAAGACTGACTTATTTAATTCCCATGTGGGAACTGTGCCCCCTGGGTGTCACTGAAGGGGGAATTTGCCCCACCACAAGCAATGGTGCTCCCCTATACTGGGTGCAAAGCAAGGGATGCTGGAGGAGATGCTCCGCCAGGAGCTGATCCTCATTTCCCAGGAAGGAGAGGGGAAGGAGAGGGATTCCCAGCACCCAGCACCCAGCAGAGCCTGGATGAGGCCCTGGGGCCATTGAGACGGCTGCTCCAGGGGGGGGGGCTGGGGAGGGGGCTGCGGGGCCGCACCGTGAGGGTGCAGCAGGCTGCGGCGTGACTCAGAGGTGCAGAATGTCTGTGGGCAGCCGGCCCAGCTCCCAGATGCTCCGCAAGGGCTCGAGCTCTGGTTGAGACAACGTGCGCTCTCCTTGCTCCACGTATGCTGTCAGGAGTGCCTGCATTTTGCCGTTCCCCCTCCCTTTCCCACCCCTCCTGCCCGCTCTTCGGCGTTTGCAGGCTCGTTCCCACCCTCCGTCTCCCCGCTGGGAAGCATCCATCCGCCTTACAACCCTTGGAAGGGAACACTGCGCGCTCGCATCCAACAAAAGGGGAATGGCTGCGTGCGTGTGGGGCAGCCTGGGAGCAACACCCTTGGATCCAGGCTGAGGGGCCAGGGAAAGGATGGATGGGGTGACCCCCAGCCCCCTCATCTCCCACATCTGCCGGTTCTGCTCTCCCAGCCCCGCAATGGAGCAAGGGCTCCCTGGTCCCCACCTCTGCTCTCTCCTGCTGCGGCTTTGGGGGATGCTCCATCCCAGCAGGACCCCAGGGACTGGTACCTCTTCCCACCACAGCATCCCAGCAGGACCTCAGGACCCCAGTATGAGCGGGAGCTCCTCCAGCCCCCTGCCCTCCGTCCCCTTTACCTCCAGCCCGTCCCAAGGACGAGGGCAGTGAGAGGCATCGCAGCGCTGCTGGATGCCGCCCTTGACTTTTCCCGGCTCCCGGTGACTCACGCTCAGTTAAAGCTTTGATGTGGGGAAGAGCAGAGCGAGGAGACAGCTTCCCACCACGCCTGCCCGCCTTTGTAACGAGCCCTCTTACTGATTAGATGGCAGCAGCCCAAAGCACGGCCCCCATCGGTGTCCAGCGCCGCACGTGTTGCCCTACAGAGAAATACTCACATGTCACAGCTTCAGGAGCACCTGCGGGCTCAGGATGGGGACCCTTTGTCACGACTTTTTGGGACTCAGCATCTTCCAGGGGTTTCTCCTTCCTCGGTGCTGTGGCGCCGGCATTGGGGC